CCCCCCCCCCCCCGCCTTCACCGCACCGCTGATGTTTCAGATAAAAAAATTTCAGATTATCTAAACACGAACCAGCTTTATCGCTCCAATCAAAATATTTAAAGCCCGCTGAATATGTATCAAAAACCGTCATTTTTCCCGCCGGACGTTTCTTTTAATGTGAAAGAGCAGAGCGGAAGCGTGGCATCAGCGAATGTAGTTCTGCTTCCGATTCCTGTGTTTGACTACTGCAGTCATGGCGGAGTACAGCCAGACTGGCCTTCTGGTGGCCCTGTTCCTTTTCACGGCGCTCACCCTCCGGGACATTTATGTCGGAAGGTCGAGCTCGCAGAGTGGGCACCAACCACCCGACAACCCGGCCGTCTTCCCGGACACGGAACCGGGAAAGCCCGCTAAGGCGGCGATCTACAGCGGCCCCGTACTGCGGTTCCAGTACTGGTGAGTTAACGCAGAAGCTAACGGAGGCTAGCGGTGAGCATCCGTGAGAATGACCGAGGTGAAGAGAAACTAAAGACAGGGTGGGTGAAAATCTAAACACAAACCATCGACAATACGAGTTAAGTTAGCGTGATCTACGGCGCCAGCGCTAACTAGCGGTGAATACTTGTCGTTAACGAGCTTCGGGTAACCCAACTTTGCTCATTTGGTCGGTTGGAATTTGGAGACTACCCGGATTTTGTTGGCTGATCAAGTTCGAGTTGCTTCGCTTCTGACCATCTAATTGGACACCTTAAGGCAGGTGTTCTTGTCTTCAACGTCCGTCTTTCGGGAAAATAAAAAAAATACACCTGATAATTGATCGGCTAATGTTATTGTGTGTGACAGATTATAATCACCTAACTGATGTGCTTCTTTCAGTATCTCCTGAGGTTACAGTAAAGTCTTCCAGGATTACTCTCAGGCCATCAGTGAGGTGTACCCGGACATCCGCATCCAAGGCGAGAACTACCCTCCCACTGGCTTCAGCAGGTGAGGTGCTCCGTCTGTAAACTCAGTCCTCAGCCTCTACAGCTGTGTCTAACCTGCCTCCTCCCGTCAGGTGTGCGGCTCAGCTGATCTCGTATCTGAAGCTGCTCTCCATTTTGGTTATCGTCAGTGGTCAGAACCCCTTCTCGCTTCTCCACCTCCAGACGCCACCTGCCTGGACCTGGAGTCAGAACAACAAGGTACCAGCACTTAGCAGATAGCACATGTGCATAGCTCCGTGATTGGCTGTTTGTTAGTGGTTCTTGATTGGTGCTGCCTGAGCCGCTGTTCAATACTGATAATGTTTAATCACAAACTGATGACACATACAGGCAAACTCCACCCACACTGTTGTTTCAGGTGGGACTTACTAATGACAGTAAATCTACCATTCCATCAACATGCTCGTCCACTGTTTCCATGTCACGCTTTGCCTCTCCAAAATGTGAAATGTACACGCTTGCAGAAGTTGCAGTAATCTGTAGTACCAGCAGAAGGAGACGTTTTATTTCAAGCCAACATGAATATAATCACAGCAACGTGTTTATACAGACATTTACATGGAAATACATATTAGCATAGTATAATGGATTTTGCTGATTAAGGACCCTGGAATTAATGTTTTTTGCTCTCTACTGACTTGACTTTAAATACATTAGCTCCCCCTGCTGGTAATCCAATTTTTACATGGGTGTGTAAATGGATACAGTGGACTAGCGTGCCTATTACACATTTTGCCGTGACATCAGAGCTACTGGAACATGCCCACCTGCTGTGAAAAAAACATTACTGGAGTCCTTTGCTCTCCATTCATTCTTCAAACATCTGCAAGTATAACTTATCCAAAGAGCCAGATAGTCGCTGTGCTATCTGATGCACTAATCAGTGCTGGTTATGGATCCAACAGGTGAGCTCAAGTCTCTTAACTCTGAAGCTCTTTTTCCATTAGTGCCTGCTCAAATCAACTCTGCACGGTTCATCACTGTTTGCCGGGTTTTGCATCAGGTCACAGCACCTGGTACTTTTTTTTTTTTTTTTTTTTTTTTTGTAACTGCTTTCCCAGGATTCCAATCGATCCGGGCAGGTACTAAAATGTGACATCGTCTGACTGCATGCCACTGATTGGCTGGTCAGTAGTATCGTTCGATGAGTCTGAGAGTGTGTCACTCACGAAAATCTAAACCACCATATATTTTTTTTAATTAGAATTAGAATTCAACTTTATTGTCATTGCACATGCACAGGTACAGGGCAACGAAATGCAGTTTGCATCCATCCAGAAGTGCTTTAGCCATGATATAGATATATTACAATATATATTAGCAATAATATAGATATGTAAGTATATTACAGAAATGGGTCTATTGTGGTATGTTATAATGTACACGGTGTGAAGTATGTTATGAATACTGTACAACTATAAGTATGTACAGGCTGTAGTGAGTACAAGCTATGTACAGGATATAAATATGAAATAAAAAAAACTATACAGAAATCTGAGATACAGCTATACAGAAATGGGAACTATGCAAGTTGTAAACAGTTGTAGGATTAAAAATTATCAAATGTACAGAATGATTATTTACACAGAGCTATACAGTAGTGCAGTTAAGATAAGTGAGGGTGTGGATAATTTCTACAGAGGCTATATAAAGTGATAGTGGTTGTGAGTGGTGGTTCAGTCCATGTTATTATTGTGTGTTTGAGGGTACAGTTGTCCATTGTGGGTGTGTGTGTGTTCAGTCCATGAGTTTAACGTGGGTCAGATGTCAGGAGGCAGACAGCAGGAGTCTGACAGCTGTGGGGAAGAAGCTGTTCCGGTACCTGGTGGTCTTAGTCCGGAGGCTCCTGTAGCGCCTCCCAGAGGGCAGGAGGGTGAAGAGTCCATGTGAACGGTGACTGGGGTCTTTGATGATTTTCCCAGCCCTTTTCAGACACCGCTTCCTGTAGATGTCCTTTATGGCAGGAAGTGGTGCTCCGGCGATGCGCTGGGCAGTTTTCACGACCCTCTGCAACGCCTTCCGGTCCGAGGCAGAGCAGTTCCCGTACCAGACTGTTATACAGTTGGTCAGGATGCTCTCGATGGTGCAACGATAGAAGTTCACCAGGATGTCTGAGGACAGGTGGTTCTTCCTCAGAGTCCTCAAGAAGAAGAGGCGCTGGTGAGCCTTCTTGACCAGCTTGGAGCAGTTGGTCGTCCAGGTGAGATCCTCGGAGATGTGGACTCCCAGGAACTTGAAGCTGCTCACACGCTCCACAGCCGTCCCCTTAATGTGGATGTGGGTCAGCATTCCTCCTGTAGACCACGATGAGCTCCTTGGTCTTCTCGGTGTTAAGCAGCAGGTTGTTTCTGTCGCACCACTCAGCCAGACGATCCACCTCCTCCCTGTAGCCGTGGTGTCATCTGCAAACTTAATGATGGTGTTGGAACCATCAGCCGGTCTGCAGTCGTGGGTGAAGAGGGAGTAGAGGAAAGGGCTCATCACACAGCCTTGTGGTACACCGGTGTTCATTGTGATTGTAGATGAGCTCCGAGTCGTGGCAAGTTGATCCCAGTAGGTAGTAATGGAAAAGGAGCTTGACAGGACAAATCTCACCAATCCCTGTTTCTCCAGGCTGTCAGTGTAGCTCATTTAAACTGAGGAATGATTTAAATGACCTTGGAAAAACACTCATGAATAGACTGATGACTGAGGTTATGGTGTGATCAGAGCGCTAGCTTGTAGAATCGTCCGCCTATCCTGCTGCTGTTACCACGGTAATGGGTGCTGTTTACTGATTACCATGGTAACGGACACTGTGCTTCTGTTGCAGATCTTCTCCTGCCTCATGGCCTTCTTCCTCTGTAACATGATGGAGACTCACTTCCTGTCCACTGGAGCCTTTGAGGTCACACTAAATGGTGAGTTCTGATTGGACCAGACCTTTGTGTTAACATCATGCTTGTGACACAGTTTCAGTACTACAACTCAAATTACTGTAGTAGTTCACGCTTGTTTGTTTATTTGTTTATTTATAAGGAACCCCATTAGCTTCCACAACAGTGGTTGCTAGTCTTCCTGGACGCTTGTCTGCACTAAAGTCAAAGTATTCAGAGTAATAAACTGTCAGTCATCAGAAACAGAACAGCACTTCTTACTATAACCAATTACATCACTGCTGACCTCACATCCTGCTGTAATGCTGCCTGATCTGTACCAGAAACCCAGTTTGTTGTTTACTTATATGAAAGTGCTCATACTTCCTGTCACTCTGACAGCAAGCTCTGCGTACATGTCTTAGACATGATCTCTCACTCTTTTCTTTGTGTGAGTTATTAAAGAGAACATGTATGTATTCAGTCTAATTTCTATCCTGGAGCTCTGCTCAAACAAACTGTATGTGAAGCTTGATTTAAAAACAAAAAACATTCACAGATAGGGCTGTTCAATATAACGATATATATCGGATGCACACTTAGCACTTAGTTCCTCCTACGCCGAGCGGCGCATCGGGCAGCTAGTGATCTCCATCAATGTCGGTCAGCAGCGACTGCTTCAGCTTCGTCCCAGGCAATGTCGACAGTTCTCAGATCGTCCATAAATGTTCGATGACGATATAAAAACATCTATCGTTTCCTATCACGCTATCATTTGTTTCGTGGTGTCGCAAAATAAACTGTTTACAGCAATATTTTTTCATTATTTCGATGATCACTGTAGTGACTATATTAATTTCTTAAAGCTCTCTCTTTCTCTTATATTTAATTTATATTAAATATAATATCCGTCCACACTATGGACGGACAAGCGCCTGTTTTTTACGTGCTGTCGTTAGCAACAATGACGGTAAAACCATCGCGTGGCTCCGCTGTATGCAGTGTGTTTACGGATGAGAAGCAAAAAGAGCCGTCAGGTGCTAAAAAATAAACTTCAGACTCAAACGTTAGAACAAGCTTTTCCCCGCAACATGCCGTGTAATAAACACTCACAAAGAGAAGGGCGGCCTTAACAATCTATGTCTAAAAATGTATAGTTTCATGCATGAGTTAAAACACTGGATTCCAGGTAAAGGACACCCAGCTCGAAACACTTCACGCAAGTCGAGCTGCCCAAGAATCACAGAATTTACAGAAAATGTTAAATTTTTTTATATCGTGGTCGGGACGATAAATGTCTTATATCGGAATATGAGATTTTGGTCATATCGCACAGCCCTACAGAGTGATGTCACTTGTTTCATTGGTTGCTGCTGCTAACAGACCTAAATTAGTTTAGGTTAGCTAACGAGTGACAGAAGTGATAAGTGATAACTGAGCGGAAACCATTAGGGCTAAAAGCAAAAATGAGGCTAAGTGTTCCAGATGCTGCACCACCTTCTACTGAGGTACTTCCAGAGCATCCTAAGCAGCTGCATCACTGTCTGGTGTGGTAACTGCACCATATCGGATCTTAACACCCTACAGCGGATAGTGGGAACAGCTGAGAAGATCATTGGAGCCTCTCTTTCCTCCATCGCGGACACTTTTTGCATCCACAAAGCCACAAGAATTGTAGAGGACCCCATACACCTAATTACACAGCAGTTTGCCAACAGTAGTTATAAACCAACACAGGGAAATAAGGTTTCCTGAAAGTATATCATTTGTTCCTTGGAGGCTTCTGTTTTTGGTCCGTCATACACATCAATCTACACTGGTCAAAAAAATAAAGGGAACACAACTAAACAACACAATGTAACTCCAAGACCAATCACACTTCTGTGAAATCAAACTGTCCACATAGGAACCAACACTGATTGACAATCAGTGTCACATGCTGTTGTGCAAATGAAGTGGACAACAAGTTATAGGCAATTAGCAAGACATCCCCAATAAAGGAGCAGTTCTGCAGGGGGTGACCACAGACCACCTATGCTTTCTGGCTGACATTTTGGTCACTTTTGAATGCTGGCAGTATTTTCACTCTAGTGGTAGTATGAGACGGAGTCTACAACCCGCACAAGTGGCTCAGGTAGTGCAGCTCATCCAGGATGGCACATCAATGCGAGCTGTGGCAAGAAGGCTTGCTGTGTCTGTCAGCGTACTGTCCAGGGCAAGGAGGCACTACCAGGAGTCAGGCCAGTACATCAGGAGACATGGAGTAGTCCGTAGGATGGCAACAACACAGCAGCAGGACTGCTACCTCCACCTCTGTGCAAGGAGGAACAGGAGGAGCACTGCCAGAGTCGTGCAAAGTGACCTCCAGCAGGCCACAAATGTGCATGTGTCTGCTCAAACGGTCAGAAACAGACTCCATGAGGGCCTGACATCCACAGGCGGGGGTTGTGCTTGCAGCCCAACACCGTGCAGGACGCTTGGGTTTTGTCAGATATCACCAAGGTGCCCTGTGCTCTTCACAGATGAAGGCAGGTTCACACTGAGCACATGTGGCAGACATGACAGTCTCGAGATGCTGTGGAGAACGTTCTGCCTGCAACATCCTCAAGTATAACCGGTTTGGCAGTGGGTCAGTAACGGTGTGGGGGTGCATTTCTTTGGGGGGCTGCACATCCCTCCATGTGCTCACCAGAGGTAGCCTGACTGCCATTAGGAATGAGATGAGATCCGTAGAGCCCTTGTGAGCCTATCGTCTCACAAGGGCTCCTCCTAATGCAAGACAATGCTAGACCTCATGTGGCTGGAGTGTGTCAGCAGTTCCTGCAAGACTAAGCCATTGATGCTGTGGACTGGCCCCCCTGTTCCACAGACCTGAATCCAACTGAGCACATCTGGGACATCATGTCTTGCTCCATCCAGGAGTTGGCAGATGCTTCAGTCCAGGTGTGGGAGGAGATGGCTCAGGAGACAATTGGCCACCTCATCAGGAGTATGCCCAGGCATTGTTGGAAGGTCATACAGGCACGTGGAGGCCACACACACTACTGAGCCTCATTTTGACGTGTTTTAAGGACCTTACATAAAAGTTGCTTCAGCCTGTAGTGTGTTTTTACACTTTTAATTTTGAGTGTGACTCCAAATAGGGCTGCTCAATTAATCGAATTTTAATCACGATTACGATCTGGGCTTTCAACGATCATTAAAAATGACTGAGCCAATTATTAGCCCCTCCCTAATTTATCCGCGACACCTTAAAGGCCGGTCCGTGAAAATATTGTCGGGCATAAACCGGTCCGTGGCGCAAAAAAGGTTGGAGACCGCTGATTAAGAGGACCCGAGGGAAGCTCGGAAAGCTACGGTAAGCAGAAGTTATTTGGAGAGTGACTGCCGTTGGTTGAAAAGAGAGTTTAAAAAAAAAAACTTCAGTGGTGTTGCACACTATTTTATATTATTTTTTTAAAGTCATTGTTAACCCTTTAAAGCCGGTCAGAGCAGCACGCTCCGTTTTGCGTAACTATTTTTAAATCCCTGTAGAACCTGAACCGTGTAAGCTAGCGCAATAATTTGTTTTGCATATGAAACCGGAGGAGTTGTACTTACATCTGATGCCATCAGCTTGTCCTCGGTCACGGTTTCGTTCCACATATAGCTTTGCAAAAATTGCATAAAAAGCGCTTGCAGGAACAAAAACATAATATTCCAGAAACACGCTTTGCCGTTCCTATCAGCTGTTCGTAACACTTCCCACAGTGAAATGATGCACATGCTGTTTTCTTTGCAAATTTGCATCATAGGATTGTTTTTTGTTTTTCCTGCAGTGTATATAAAAATTGCTGTATCTCCAAAATAAAACTATGAAGACACTCAAAATAAATTTCCTGTGGTGGGAAACTATTTTTTGCAACTTTATTGTATTTAAAGTTTTGAGGGATAAACCTCTTAAATTTCTCCAAGTAGAAATATATGTAAACAAAACAAAAGCAATTTTCAATTTTTTTTTTGTAGTTTATTGCACTTTTTTGCAATTTATGTAAGTACTATGGACTTAATGCATACATATTATTAAAATATGGGCTATAACAGTTGTATTGATGTATAGCAACTTGAAATGTTCCCAAAAATGGCACTACAGCATGTAAAAAAAAAATATATATATATATATATATATATATATAAGCTCTGGTGGACTTGGTTCTATAGTAGGTCTTAAAGGGTTAAATAAATATCGTCAAATAATCGTGATCTCAATTTCAGTGAAAATAATCGTGATTATCATTTTTGCCATAATCGAGCAGCCCTAACTCCAAATCCAGACCTCCATGGGTTGCTATATGTGATTCCCATTGATAATTTTTGTGTGACTTTTTTTTTTTTTTTTTTGTCAGCATATTCAACTATGTAAAGAACAAAGTATTAAGAGTATTTCATTCATTCAGATATGGGATGTTTATTTTTGTGTTCCCTTTATTTATTTTTTTGAGCAGTGTATTTTTCCGAAACACACTTGCACTAGGTGATGCTACACAAACACTAAAAACTATGAACACTTATTTGTTAAATCAGCTTTACAAATGGAGTTAAATCTGTGACCATTTCTTAGAGCAGGGCTCCATGGTGTGATTTTTCTGAAATCACGCAGTTTCATGGTTTTTCTAAAAAAACAAAAAAAAACCCCCTCTTATAATCAGAGATGGGCAATAATGCGTTACTTGTAACAGTAAATTGCAGAAAAAGTAGAATTGGGCTGAAAGATCTATCGCTTTATCACCTATTCAGGTTGTAAATTGTGTTTTTAAAAAAGTAACTAAGTAATTACTTTTGAAAATAAGTAATCAGTAAAGTAACAGGATTACTTTTTGGGGGAAGTAATTAGTTACTGATTACTTTTTTCAAGTAACTTGACCAAAACTGCTTATAATATCTATAAAATGCACTACCTGTCAAACGTTTTCGAACACCACAACTAGCCTCATACCAGAGGGTGCTGCATGGAGCTGCAGAGTGCTGTGTGTTCTGGTTCAGGGAGCCTCTCACTCTGTACAAGTCACCGACCCTGGATCCAGCAAACAGCCCCAGACCATCACACTTCCTCCTCCATGTTGATGCCACACACTGTGGAACCATCCTTTCACCTACTCCACGGCGCACAAAGATCCCGCGTGATGAAACGAAGAGTCCAAATGTTGATCCATCAGTCAATGATACCTTCCAGTCTTCAGTAGTGCAATGTCGGTGTTTCATGGCCCAGACAAGCCTCTTTGTCTTATTCTGACGTCTGGCTTTCTTGCTGCAACTCGTCCTGTCAAACCTGCAGCTCAAAGCCTTCTCTTCACACCTGAAACTGAGACTTTCTCACTACGACCACAATTAAGCTGCTTGAAGCTGTTGTCCTGTGAGTCGCCTATATCACAGCTGTTAACTCTCAGGAACGTGTCCTCTGATTCAGTCGTGTCTTTGGGTCTGCAGACCTCTTCCTGTCA